CCAGCAGCTGCATCCTGCCTTCCTCTTTGAGCTGGGGATCCTTGAACCCACAGCAGGCATAATTTATAGCATGCCAAAATAAAATTATTTACTAGAAAATGTGAGATAGGGCATTCCAGTCTACCAATAATTACATTTGCTGGGTTGCCAGTAAGAGTCCACTTAACTTAAATAGCTTTACCAAAGGTCTGCAAACTGCAGCTGGGCCAGGAAGCCCAGCTAACTATTTATATATGTCACCCTCCCCCAGCAGCACTAAAAATGGTTTTCACATTTTTAGGGAAGTTTTCGTTTGATTTTTTTTTTAGGCACGGGATCTCTTTGTTACATCCAGGATGTCCTGTTACAATCCATTCTGTCCCAGGTTTGCTTTGAACTCTCAGTTTTCCTGCCTTTATCTCCGGAGTGCTGGGTACACATGCCACCACCGACAATAGTTTTAATGCTTGACAAAATTCTAAGGAATAAAACACCATGATATGTGCAAAGTGTCTGAGAACACATTTCAATGTGAGTAAGTTCTCCTAGAATGCTTGTTTCACTGACTTTCTCTATGGCTGCTTTCACGCAACAAAAGTTAATTGTGGTGAATGCATGGCCTTGAAGCCCAATATATAGATATATAATATGATACTTTACAGACAAGATTCATTGATCCTGAGCTATATAAAAAAATATAGACAGGGACAGTGAGCCAGGCCTATAATTGTAGCACTCAGGAGGCTGAGCTGGGAGAATTTTGAGTCTAACGCCTGCCTGAGCTATATAGAGAGATCATCTCAAATATTACACTCTAAACTTGGGTGTGGTTGCTCATTCCTGTATACCCAGCATTCAGGAAATTGAAGCAGGAAGATTATAAAGTTTGAAATCAGCCTGGGGAACTTAGCATGCCCCAGGTAAGCGTAGGCTATAGAACATGATCTTGTCTTTAAAAAAAAAAAACATGTTAAATGTCACAAATATAGTCGAGTTTGGTGGCATGCCCCTCTAATCACACCCCTCAAGACACTGACAAAGAAAGATAACGAAGTTAAGGACAGCCTGAGATAACGTAGTGAATTCAAAGCAAGTCTGAGTTCCATGAAACCTTGTCTAAAAAATAAGTCACAAACATTTGTGTAAGAATGCCAACTCATTACTCTTGAAATCTCTCATTGACTCTTCCTAAAACACAGCTAAAACTACACTCCCACCTAGCCATGTCTTTTGACATAAGCTGTCTATAGAGTACAACATCTAATTTTTTAATTAAGGAATCACTGGTACACGGGAACAGCTTAATAAGTCAAAGTGCTGTTAATTCTGGCAAGCTCCAGTGCTGTTTCCTCCTTTGCTTCCTCTGCCTTCCACCAAGAAATGAGTTCTCTCCCTCTCTTTAATGTCACATACAATCATGTCCACCATCCAACTCTAAAGCGCTGAACTTTAATACCATATACAGCAGTAATTTCTCCTCTACATATCTCCCCTACTAGTGTTGGAACTTCTTGGGGTCAATATCCACCTGTGACTCACTCTGTGTATCTAACAGTCATCTGAACAAAGATTATAACATAGTATGTGCACTGGTATTTACTGAATGAATGGTATTCAGTTCATGAACCATATATAGTCCACATTGTCTCAGGTTTCTGGGGTCATATAAGCAATGGGTCATATCATTTATACTGAACAATGCCTAGCCTCAGTGTTCAGCAAATATTCAATAACATCAAAAAGGAGAGACATAGGGATATAGATTAGTAGGAGAGGGCTTGTCCAGTGTGCGCAAGGCCCTGGGTTCTATCCCCAGGACAAATGCATCCACACATGCACTCTCAGAGGGGGGGGGCAACAAAAAATCATGTAATAGTCTTCATCTGTCTGAGTAATTGTAGGAAGAAGGTTTATTTTCTATTAGTTTGTTATAATTGTCATATGCACCAAAAATTATAAACACATCACATTTGGAGAGGATGGATGATTAAAAAAAGGAGCTAGACTTCAGAACATTAATTACCTCTGAGCACCATATTAAATACATGTAATTATTTGTCCTAGTTTGCTTTCTGTTGCTGTGATTTAAAAAAATATTGGCCAGAGCAACTTGGGGAGGAAACAGTTTGTTTTTGCTTGTAATTTTCACATCACAATCCATCACTGAGGGCAGGAACTGAAGCAGAGGATAATGGGAAGGACACTGCTTTCTGGCTTGCTTGTTTACACCATCCAGTCAGTACCAACTCCTCAGAGGTGGCACTGCCCACAATGGGCTGGGGCCTCCCATATAACATCAAGAAAATACCCCCACTGACTTGCCTACATGGAGGCAATTCCTCAGTTGGGTTTCCCTCTTCCAAGACTGTGGCTGTGTCATGTTGACAAAAAAAAAAACTAACCAGCACAGTATTCAAACAGGACCACATTTAACGCACTAATAGTCACACGAGTTCATTGCTTAAAGCCTTATCCAGAGTTTGAGGCAAAAATCGCACAGTAGGACAAAGTACTAACATCAAGTTTCACCTGGGTTAACAACTTGAAGGAAAATTATGGATGAGTTTTGCAGTTCAATGTGCCATGTCTCAGGGTTTGCAAGATTTAGTTGATCTAAAACCCAAATTAGTTAAGTGTTAATCACTGTCCTGCCTTTTATTGTCAGGTTCCAGATGCTAAGATGGATCCGTGTGCTAAGCTCATTACCCAGTTGTGCCCAGAAGAGTGAACTTTTCCATTTCTGTATTTCCTTTCTGAACTTTACTGAAAATTATACATCCATCAACAGATGTATTAGTGAACAAAAATAGACTATCAACAATGTACTTGTTTTAGCCATTTCCATTTCACAAAACCCTTTTAAAATTAATTGCCTTGAGCCTCACAACCTTATGTTGTGAGGAGGATATAATTACCACCATTATTATTCTGGCAATTTTTTTGTGTGACAATGGCTTTTTTAAAATTCCAGTACTATGGATGGAATACGGGTCCTTGCACATGATAGGCAAGCATTCTGTCATTTAGCTATATACCCAGCACACCATCAATTTCATATTGTACAAATCTATTATTGTATATTATCATGTTATCCAGTGCTTACTAAATTTGGGATAGTTTAACATTTCTCTCTCTTTAAAGATGTTTCTTAATTTTTGAATTACATTTCACAGTTGAAATGGTTTGTGCCAGATCCCAAAATGGGGAAGCCATGACTGTAACCCAGGTCTTCAAAATCCAATCCTAGAGGGAGATTTTCCTCTTTCCTTCGCTTAGGAGGAGCACACCTGTGTCTTACATCTACCTTACCTACCCTGAAGAAAAGGGGCTGAGCTGTGAAGAAGCAGAAGGTGGGGAGCAAACACTACTGTGATAAAAACAGCAGGACACAATTCCATCTTTGCCTTTAGGTACTCAAGTATTGAAAACCTGTGGAGCTTAAAGAAAAGCAATATGGCAGGGGTTAGTGGTGGGGGTTTTAATATCTCCCTATCCTATTTTGAGCTACATTGACTTTCTCTGATGGTGAATAGTACACCAAGCAGTTTGAAGTAAGAAGTAATCTGCAATCCAAACAGTCCCCCTTTTCCTTTCACAGAGTCCTCAAGTTTCTATTTCTGTGGCACAACCTCCATACCCTCAACTTCTCAATGAACTCTATTAAGAGGAGACACACCCGAAAGCCTGGCCTAAAAGTCTGCAAGGTTCAGCATTTCAAGGACTCCATCTTTTAAGGTGCTAACCCAAGTTTACTATTGACCAGGTGACTCGACAACAAAGCACTGAATGATCAAATGCAATTAAAGAACTCCAAGGTACTGGAACAGTTTGTAGATTCACAGATTCTGACCCAGAGTGGCCAGCCAATCACAAACTCGAGCCGCTACTCGGGAAATACGGGCTTGCCGCAGTTCTTGAGGCACCAAAGCTTTTAAGACTCTCTACAAGGGTCCACACAACCTTGACATGGGATGGGGTGGGCGCAGATCCACTCAAAGCAAAGTTAAAGGCATAGAGAGACTTCTTCACAATGATTACCTTTTCACAGTTCTCTTTCAGCCAAGGAGAGAAAAAATAATCAGCAGTCACTCTACTTAATCATTTTCCTCCATTCTTCTGGATACACACACGTGTGCGCGCACACACACACAAACAAACAAACACACACAAGGTTTGGCTTACTTATACTCTTGTTGGAGATGCTATGCTTTTTCTCTGAGCCTCCTGACAACCAGCAAAAATAAAAGCCTACACACAGAAGAAGAAAATAGTCCCACATGTGAGGAGTCGTAACCACTGCAAAAGCTAAGGTAGGGAAGGTCCTTCCAGCACAGCAGCCCCACACCCTACCCCTGTATTTTACACCCAGGCCATCTGGGCCCCTCGGACCATGAACTTGACAGTCTTTGTTCCACACTGAAGCAGAATTCCAGTAGTATGTGAAGCCAAATAATAATTATGAACTTATACTATGACATTAACAGTATATAAAAGAAACGTATCTCAGGGGAGGGCAAAGGTGCTTTCCTTAGAAAATGATTTGGGAAGGGTAATTGTTTACTGCCCCCACAATTGTCTTTAATAACCAGAGGCTAGGACAGAAATCTTTATACTGGAGCTCTTAGCCTTAATTCCCAATTCTTCAGGGGATTGCTGGGTAGGGTAGTTATTTGGTCAGCATGGAAGTCACCTTGTACCAGACAGGGGTGCTGGGCATGTCTGACAGGTTGGGCAGACTATCATTTTCAGTAAGAGTAACTGCAAAGCAAGAGGGTCCCTGTCCCAGCTACATATTAAGTCTTAGAAGGTCGGAGCCACTAAAGGAAAAGGCCCAAAGTTCTGCTTGTCTTCTACACTTCCCTCTTCTACTGACCCCCACATTCAAAGGTTCAGAAACCCACCAGACTCAGAGACCTGGGATGAGAGTCACTGCAGATCCTCCCTATCCCCTGTGGTATGGAAAGGTTGAAAGGCCACAATCACCTACTCAAAGAAACAGCTCATGGAAGCCTTCCACTTACTTCTCATAGCGCTGATAAGCGCGCTGCCGTCTTTGATCACGTCTTTGATGAATTTATTGGTCCTCTCCAGCTCCTGCTCGTAACACTTGAGCCTCTCGCGGAAATCGGGGCTGTCGAGGTAGCAGTCACTGAACTCCAGCGGGGGATGCCCCATGGTTATGATATTGGAGGGACTAGGGGTTAGAAGACAAAGAGAGAGAGCATCAGTGGCACAATCAGCAGAATAGAGCTAGTGGCCAGCGTTCAGGATCCACTTTTAGGCGACTCAGCCCCACTCCCTTTGGAGGACAGGTACCTGTTCCAATGAAACTCTTGGTAGCGCCCGCTGGTGTGTAGCAGAAGCGCGTAGTCCGGTGGTGGCTGCGGGTGACCGGGAATGCTTACCAACGCCTTCTGACGCCGGCAGGGTGCAGCCTAGTAAGCAGCACGCCCCCTGGTCATCGCCTCCCTGAAGCGCAGCGCTGACTCCTCGGCAGCCCAGGGTGGAGGCGGGGAGAGCGCGGGCGCAGGGGCCGCCCCTCTGTGCTCCCAAGCCAGCCGAGGCTTCCTTCCCTGGCTCTGCTGGCGAACTGTGTCTCCCCTCCCCCTTCTTAAAGCCAATGCCACTGTTTCACTCAGGCCGAGCCCTAACCCCGAGACAGACCGAGAACACGGGCTCCCTTCGGCTATCTTCCTCGGGTCTTCGGGACTCGTAGCCCACAACTCGGCAGCTGCAAAGACCACCTACTCGTTCCGGGGGGGCCGGCGGGCTGGGTTTGGTGCTTAAAGGGTTAAACCCAGCGGCAAGGAAACAGCTCTCTCCAAAAACACGACAACGGCAGCAGGAAGAGGAGGGCGACAGCGCTAGGGCACAATAGCTGTGGTAGCCTGGCGCTTTCCTACGGAAACTGGGGAGCAGTCAGCGCCCTAGGGCTCCATCTGGAAAGCGTGGTGGCCTGGGAGATGTAGTCTTTCTGTTCGCAGATCCCATGACTCCACCCTGCAGTCTCCCACCACCCCTCCAGGGTGGCCACTCTCCCAGATCTACTTCCCTAAACCAGCCCCAGGCATAGCAATCCTAGAGGTGCTGGTGTACTGCCCCGGCCCCCGAGGGTACGAGCAAAGTTTCCATAACTACAACAAAAGCTGAAAAGGATAGATAATGGGAGGCAGTGTCTCACAGATATTTGCCTGGACTGTCCTTTCTTTTCCTTCCTCTTTCACCCTTCCTCTGATCCACCAACCCTTCCTCCTTTTCATGTGTCTCCTAGTACAGTACAGACACTAATTCTCATTGGTGCCTACTGTATGATCTCTGTTAGACCCAGAACCCCCTGCTGAAAAAACACAGAGGTCAATAATTCGAAGTATAGATGTTTGGACTAAAGGGTACACTGTGTGACTCACTAGACCACACTACACCTTCCATACCGAGATTTTGTTTGTTGATTGGTTTGTTTGTATTTGGTGGTGGTGGTTTGGTTTTTGGTTTCTTGGGAGTTTTGTTTTTATTTCATTTTTAAATTTTGGGTTTGGGGGGTTGCGAGGGCAGGGGTAAGAAGCAAGGGGGCAGGGAGTTGAGTGGGATAGGGATGCATGATGTGAAATCCAGCAAGTATCAATAAAAAGTTTTTTTAAAAAGCAAGGGAATGACACCAAGTGGCATTAAGGCTACCTTAAATGCCCTCCCATGATAGTGAGAATGATGACTACCTTATATGCCATCCTAGAACTCTCATCCAGTGGCTGATGGAGGCAGAGGCAGACACCCACAGCTGTGAACCGAAATGAACTTCTGGAACCCAGTTGCAAAGAGGAGTGATGACCAAAGGAATCAAGATCAGGCTGGTGAAACCCACAGAGGCAGCTGAACTAAACAAGGGGGAACACATGGACCCCAGACTGATGACTGAGGGACCAGCATGGGACTGATCCAGACACCCTCCCACCAATCCTGGGTGACAGGATTTAGCCTCCTTTAGCCCAGGTTTGCCTTAAACTCCAAATCCTCCAGCCTTTGTCTCCTTAGTGCTATGATTACAGATGTGTGCCAGCTATCCTAGCCAACTCTTAAGATATTTGACAGAGCTTCAAACATTCAAAGCAAAACAAAATACAAATATTCACATAACCCTGAAAAGTTTTACATTGTTCTACCATATGATTTCTCTTTGACATTGTATATTACATATTCCTTAAAGAATTTTGTCCTCCCATAAAATATTTTTACTTAAAAGTCTGTTGTTGATTACCATACTGAATTTCTTCCTAACAATACTATGACTAAAAATAGAAATTAAATTATTTCCTTGTGACGGCTATAAGGCTTCCATATATAAAAGTCTTTTGAATTGAGTTATAATTGTAATTATTCATATAAATTTATAAAGCATCATATTTTATTTATTATTTCCAAACAAAATGATTGGACATGTAACTCCTATCAGAAGGATGGAGAAGGTATAGGACCTAGAGTTAAACAAGAGACCTACGAAAAGAGAAACAAATGTTTTTAACCTTAGTATTTGAACTATTGGTTAGTCTGTTTAACCCTAAGACTTTTGCACATGGGCAGCTGGTGAGATTCCTGACTTTTGAAGGCCATGCTTTCCTTTTGAAGGGTTGAGAAAGGGGGATACAAACGCTAAACTGGAGAGGAGTTCTTTGTGAAGTCACCTGTTAGTGTCCAGACACCTGTACCGGTCTGCGCCTAGGGTTCTTCTAGGATATATCCTCAGCTGAAGCCATTAAGAGCATCTCCTGCACACAGTCACTATGTTCCTTTTTAAAAGGTCCCTGCCCAGCCAAGTGTTGGTGGCACATACCTTTAATCCTAGCACTTGGGAGGCAGAGGCAGATGGAGTTCTGTGAGTTAGAGACAAGCCTGGTATACAGGGGGAGTTCCAGGACAGCCTCCAAAAACAATACAGAGAAACCCTGTCTCAAAAAACCAAAAAAGAAAAAAGGTCCCTGCCCACCTCCCATCTTTCTCTCCTTCCCTCTCTGCTTCTCCGCCTGTCTTTGTCTCTCCTTCTCTCTCAGATCCCTCCCTCTCTCCATCCCTCTCTTCCTTCCTCCTTCCCTCTCTCTTCTCTTCTGTTGCTTCTGTCACCAGAGGCTGGTCTCCCCTCTCCTTTTCCCGTTTTCCCATTCACTTTCCCCCAGTAAAACCTCTCCACCAGCCTGGCAGTGGTGGCTGGAGCACACCTTTAATCCCAACACTCAGGAGGCAAAGACAGGCAGATCTGTGAGTTCGAGACCAGCCTGGTCTACAACAGGACAGCCTCCAAAGTCACAGAGAAACCCTGTCTCGAAACCCCACCAAAAAAAAAACCTAGGAAACAGGATGCACTTGGACTGGAAAAAAGGTTGCACTTGTTGGCTGACCAGGAACTCACTGAGACCTGGTGGGGCTGGGGCCCAACACTTAGGTTTTTTAAACTCCTTTGAGACAAAGTCTAGCTACATAGCTCATGCTGAATTTGAACTAGCAATGCTTCTGTCTTAGTCTCCTGTGTGCTTTGATGACTGATAAGACACCTGGAAGTCTTCTTGTTTGATTTGCTTGGGAAGACACTACTTTGGTAATTATTCCCAGTGCTCGTGTGCTTGTTGCTGTAATAATAAACTGTTCTCCACTCATTTACCTCCTGGTTTTACTTTGCACTCACCTAGACAACAACACATGATGTTCCATTATAAAGTGTCAAAATACTAACCTCCAGTTGATGGTACTAAGATGTGTGGAATTTGGACTACGATTAGGTCCATAAGACAAGATTCTTTATTAACAGGATGGGTAAATGTCCTTTTCCTTTCCACGTGAGAATACAGGGAGAGAAAAACATTCAGTAGTCTCGACAGTAGACAATATGTAAGTGTTTCAGGATGGTCGGAGACATGGGATGTTAAGGGCTTTCGTTAAAGTTTTTAGAATTTGAAAGGTAAATTTAGGGTGGTTATCTGATTGAAGGGAGGTTGGAACTCTAAAACAGAGGATGATCTCCCTAAAAAGGAGATCAGAAACTGTGATCTTTTATCAGTGGTGAGCAAAACTTTTACCCATCCTGAGAAGGTATCCACTAGGAAAAAGAAAAAGTATCTAAAGCATTAAACTGGAGGCCTGTGGGAGAAGTCAAGTTGAGCTGCCAGTCTGATCCAGAAGAGGGATCCCCTGGCTTGACAAATGGGGAAAGGGTGACTCCGATGTCTGGAGGCAGATGTAGAAGTTTGACAGACTTTATAAGAACTAGTGGTAGTCTTTAGATAGGATAGAGGTAGACTGTAAATAGGTTTTAATAAAATGGGACAAAGGCTGCCTATTAGGGATAGGAGGCATGGGTTAAAATGAGAGCGCCTTGTGGCATGTGATGGGGACCCAGGCCCCTGAGAGTCACAGCTGCCTCATCGGTTTAGTTATTTTCCTCGGAAATAGGACTGTCCAGCTGAGTTGGGTGTAAATATGTTTGTCTGGGTCAGTCCAAGTAAAGGCAAAGATATTTTGTGTCTGGGGGTCCAGAGGAATAGAAAAGAAGGCATCCTTGAGGTCAAGGACAGAGAAATGAGAAGTTTTTGAAGGGATGGTGGAGAGTAGAGTATAAGGGTTGGGAACTACAGGATTAAGGGGAACTACTGCTGAATTAATAAGTCGGAGATCCTGAACCAGGCGGTAGGTTCCATTAGGTTTTTTGACTGCAAGTATGGAGGTATTGAAGGGGGAAGAAGTGGGGCAAAGAAGACTTTTTCTCAGGAGGTCAGAGATGAGAGGTTTAAGTCCCCTGAGACTTTGGAGTGAACGTGGGTATTGAGCCTTAGTTATATATTTGGCAGGGTTTTGTAGTCAGATGATTAGAGGGGTGTGATGTTTGGCAATAGAGGGATTCTGGGTGTTCCATACCTGAGGATCTACCAGAGAGGATAGTAAAGGAAGAAGTGTGTCAGACTGTGTGGTTTGGAGAAGAAGGGGAACAGTTGGCGAGCCTGAGGCCAAGCGGATAGGGAGAGCAAAAGAAATGGAGGCTCCCACTTTGGCTAAAAGGTCCCTTCCCAGCAATGGGATGGGACAGGTTGTTATCACTAGGAAGGAATGAGTAAGGGGGATACCCTGAAAGATACAGTTAAGTGTTGGGGTTTGTTGGGTCTGATAGGGCTGTCCCCCTACTCTGACAATAGAGGAACAGGAAGGAATGGTTGGTCCCCCAAAATTTGTCAAAGCTGAAAAAGTGGCTTCAGTGTCCAGGAGGAAAGAAATGGGCCTCCCTGATACTGTGATAGCTACCCGAGGCTCCCTGTCGGAGATGGCAGTGGTCAGGCCAAGGGAGCCCGGTCTCCCTCAGTCATCAATGGCCAGGCCAAGGAGGTCAGTTGAAGGGCGATCTGGGATTGATGTTCCCATGCTGTCAGGAACATGGGGGCGATCAATACCCCAGTGTCCCTCTTGGTGGCACCTTGGACATGGTCCTGGTGGTTTATGAGGGTTTGGACAGGCCCGGGCCCAGTGGCCCTCCTGACCGCATTTGAAACAAGGACATGCGAATCTTTGTCCTTTGGGAGCCTGGGCTTTTGTTTTGGCTGGCAGAGAGGTCTTAGCCATCATCAGGTATTTTTGTTTTGGGGCCTTTTCATCCCTTCCATGGTACACCTTGAATGCCACATTTAGGGCTTTTGACTGTAGAGTTAGGGGGCCCTTTTCTAGACGTCTGAGTTTGGCCCTAATATCAGGGTAACTTTGGAAAAAAAGTAGGTCATAAGGAGTTGGTTTCCATCTTGAGTCTCAGGATCCACATTGGTGTATTGTAAGAGGGCCTTTGTAAGACGGTCTAGGAATTGGGATGGGTTTTCATCCTTGTCCTGGATGACCCTTTGGATCCTTTCATGATTTACTGCTTTAAGAGCAGCCTTACGGAGACCAGCCAAGAGACAACTTAAAAACTGCTTCCTAGCTAGGATGCCC